TGAGTATCCTACCTACTCAAAAGGGTCTAATATTCTTTTCCTCCTCCTTTAGATGTTACTATCTTACAATTGATTGATAAGAAGCCCCATCGTTGGATGTATGAGGGACATTCAAAATGGACTTACAGTCATAAAGGCCACAAATGGAGATGCTTTAGCAATTTTGCTTAGGGACTAGATCAATTACCGAAAGGCAACTGTAGAGTCATCGAGGGACTATGGTCTTTTGATTTATGGGTCTTTGTTAAAGCGTCCTCGTTTCGAGGGACATGACTATTTTACTTTCGAAGGCAACTAAAGTGAAGTACCCTAGAGGTGTATATGTGTAATGTGTGTTATGTTCAGTTTTTTTTGTCTTTTGTGTTAGGTTTGCTAACGTTTTGTTATTAGTCTTGTCATGAAATCCTAGTTACTAGCAGTTAATATATATACAGGAATTTAAAGTGCAGAAATGTAAAGTGTCGGAATTCAAAGGAAACATATGCCCTGTCGAAGCTTATATACAACAAACAAGCAAAAGGCTAAGGCTTCAATCGAAGCTTGGAAATTTGAAGTAAGCTTGAAGGAGGTTTAGGTGCTCAATCGAAGCATGTCAAGATGCCAATCGAAAGACACCTTGTTCATCTTCAAAATTTTCATTTTTCTTTAATCAAATGCTTGTGACCACCCATATAAGAAAAAATACTGGAAAACACGAGAGGGAAAATTTTGGGGGTACAACAGTGCATTTATTTTAATTTCGCATTTTTATTTCCAAATTTTATGTATCTGCATATGGGTTGTAAGAGTTTAAACTTAGGACTTTTACTTTTGCTTCCCCGTTTTAGATTTGTAACTCCCCCTCCCCGAGGCCATGTAATAGCGTAGATTCAATTTCTGCATTTTTATTTTCTGTATATATATTAACTGTTAGATGTATGTTAATAGGATTGTATGATAAGATTAAAAGTAAAGGCTATCAAACTTAACCTCCAAAGATAAATAACTGAAACACAACACACTCGGACACGCACATCTTTAAGGTTTCTCCACTTGCTGCCTTCATAATAAACGGTCACGATTCTCGAAGGTAAGAGATTTTAGTGGCTACCCTTTGGTTTAAAAGATCATAAGTCCCTCGATGACCCTTTCAATGTTGCCTTGGTAAAATGATCTTAAAACCATAGGGTAATTACTAAGATATCTTACTAGTTGCCTTTGTGACCGTACGATGACCCTCGCTAGTCTCTCAAAACATCCAACGATAGGGCTACCTATTGACTAATAGTAGGATATCACTGTGTAAAGGAAAAAAGGAAAACAACAAAGACCGTTCGAGTAGGTAGACCGTTTATAGTTGCTTGCTCACAAAAACAAATAAAATAATTTTTCACATACACAAACTCTTTTCTAAATAATTTTTTAAAAGACAAAAACACTTTGTATACGTTCTCAACGAAAAGGAGAAACATTACAAAGTTTGCCGCACTAAGGCGTCTTTTCAAAAATATTTTTAAAACACACAAATACAAAGCATTTTTAAAATGAGCTAGCAACTAAGAGCCCGTAGATAACTACGGATGGAAAGGGCGCTAACACCTTCCCTTTCCATAACCTACCCCCCCCCCTCCCTTACTCAGAAAATAATCTCGAAAGGTCTTTCATGTTCTTTTCACCCTTTCCTTTATTGGATAAAAGAAAAGTCGGTGGAGACTCTTGTTAACCGCAACATTTGCGAATAAAAACGTAAAACCAGTTAAAGTCAGTTCTCCCACTGTATTACACAACCACACTCTACACAATAACGCTTGGACCCGCATGATATATGTGTTTCCCAATCGTTGTTAGATGGATTTTCTGTAGTAGTGAGTATCAATTGCGCTTGTTTGATTGATGTTGTAATCGAAAAGGGAATCAAATATGCTCAGGGCTTAGGAATTATAATAATCAATGATAAGTAGGAAAATAAACTAGTAGATTAACTTGTTCATCACAATTGTATTATGTTTATTTACTTATGATTCAATTTCCTAAAACCTTAAACCCCCTCTTTTAATTTCTATCAGTTAATTTAATTTAAAGTCCTTACAATACCACTCGAGTGTCGGATCTACATAATATGTTTTAGTAACTCGTTTTTTATCAGTGTGCAACGATGAATCAACAAGCCGACCTTCAAATAGAATGAGGGCCCACATAGAACTTCACGCCCTTGAATACTCGCAATGAGAAAGTGTGGCGTAAGGTCCTCTATACACACGATATTCCTCTTCTTCCCACCCCTAAGTTAAACATCATAGGGGTTGAACCCATTATATGGTGTAAGTTTAACAAGGCCAAGGGCCACCATATGGAAGATTGCTTCCAACTCAAGAAGGAGACTGATCACCTCATCCAAGAGAGGCAGCCACCTGAAGAAACACACTAGAGGTGGATCCACCTAGAAGCTAGGAAGATCTAGCTCTCAAGGGCGTGAAGCCTCTAGAATCCCTAGATCCAAGAAGGGTAAGGAACTAAGAAAGGGAGGTGAAAACTATCTTATGCATCACACCTTAAACACCATAAAAGAAGGCTTTGTCGGGGGAAGGGAGACTAGCTCCGTTTACAGATGGTACACAACCAAGTTCTGACTGTAGAAGGGTCACCCTCCAACTCTGATTCTGGTAAGAATAAAGCTCCAGAGTTTGAGATCACTTTCTTTGATATGAACACATCAGGTATCCATCTGTGTGATAATGACCCCATGTTCATAACCATAAGGTGTGATGATTGGGAGATTAAGAGAGTGTTAATTTACCAAGGAAACTATGTAGACATCCTATACTAGGATGATTTTGGAAGGCTTCGCATGGACCTGAGCAACCTTAAATCTTTTCAAGGATGACTCGTAGGATTCTCAAGCGAGTAAGTGCAGGTAAAGAGTTATATATCCTTAAAGACCATGTTTGGGGATGAGGAGAGCACAAGAATTATCAAGGTAAGATATCTTGTTATATATGCGTCTTTTTCATATAACATGATCATAAGGAGGCCTACTTTCAACAAGATGAGATTTGCCTTATCCATAATGTACTTGTTCCATTCGGGAAACAGAAATGGATGCTCAAGCTCCATGAAGGAACAAAAAATGGAGATGATTAAACACTAGTGATCTTGAACAGTGGTTTCAATTTCCATTATGGCACCACGAGTTGGACCTACATGGTTAGAACTCTAATATCCAAGTCAGTTCAAGATTAAAGATGAACATAGTGAAATTGGAGATTAGAGATTGTGTACCTTCTCATGATATGTAAACTATTTTTATATGTTGGGTCGAGTATAGTGGTTTTTGATGGTTTTGGCCTTAGTGATTGGGCCTTTTGGTCGGTCTAGAACAGTTGCCCTCAAGGCTTTTTGGTAAGTGATGTGGGCCTACATGGTCGTGGAAGCCTTAAGTATCAATAAACAGTCTCCATGTCATAGTCCGATGTGAGATATAACTGAATCGCTTAGGATCGGCTTTTAAAAAGTAATGAGGAACATGCATATTTAATACAATTTCATCATTGAGACACTTCATCATCTATTCCTGACATGTGCAATGATGTAATCAGCTAGGGTGTGGCTCAATTCATACAGCTTAAGTACACTTGAGTTTGGCATGTTTCATCGAGTGGAATTTTAGTCGTTGGTCTTGTGATATTTGTTCATGGTTGATTTTGATCTTTTAGCTATTATTACTTATAAATAGGGTGAGTTAGATATTTGAAAGTTTTCCCAAACTTTTAGCTTTCAAGTTTTCATTTACTTTTCCAGTGAAACATCATCATTCCTTTTTTCCTAAGGACATCACTAGAAGTGATTAGGGGTCTTCGCTTAAATCTTTCACCTTTTTCTTTGTTCATGCTTCATGAATCTCCCTTTACTAGGTACCCTTCTAGCTTAAACTTTAACTTCAGCATGTTCTACATTTTAGATAGGATGAGTGATAACACTACTAATTTAGTGAGTGATTATGAAGCAGAAAATCCATCTGGTTTATCTCTTGGTTCTCCTCATCCTTATACTAGTAATAATTACGTAGGGCCGAAAATCATATTCATATATGACGATTCTAGGTTAGAAATGATCTCTAAGGATTCCTTGGAGGAAGACACTTCTTATTTTGGGTCATTAGATACCCTTATATCGAATGTTTTTCGAGGAACAAGTCACTCTGAAATCCTTATGCACCTCATGTCTTTCATGGAGAGGAAATACAAGCTTATTTGCAAATGAGGGGACATGCTAGAGATTTTATTCAGGTTTTCCTTCAGATAGAAGGTTGCAAGCCCAATAATGTTAAGGTGTTAGGACTCTCAAATCTTCGGGACTGGGACAATGTGCTGATGTATGATTGGGTAGACATAAAAATGGTGGGAGCTTCTTCAACTTTGAGCACTAAGTCTGCCCTCTATGATGTTGACGTCGTGGTTGACGACCCTTTAGTGTGGTCGTTTCTTCCAGTGCTCAAAGAGAAGAAGATGTTCAACTCTTTTGATGACTGCATGGTCCCGTTTTATAAGTGCATATTTACATGGACAGGACTTCAGCTGCACTTTTATGAATTCTAGATAACCGTCCTTAAAAATTTGAAGATTTCCTCTTCCCAACTTCATTTGGAGTTATAGGAATGTGTGAGGGTCTTCCAATTCTATGTCGAGTACAAGTCTTGGAAGCCTCTTATTAAATTATTCGTTGATCTTTTCCATTAGATGCGTACCTCCCCAAATAATTTTTGTGATCAGGAGATCATTTACTTCCATATGATCTATTAATGGTTTGACTCCTTAACTTTAGATTAAGGTAATTTCTGGAAAAAGTTTCTATTGGTGAAGCCTCTAACTTTCGCGACTCACTCTGTTTTTTGTTACCTTCTTGTTGAGCTTCATCATCCTTATCATATTTTTTACCCAAAGTATTGGTTACTGTTTCACTTTAACCAGTCTTCTCACTTCTATTGTGGTAATTTGAGATCTCTTTCTCTGAGTAAGGTGACAATGAAGGAGGAAATAAAATTAGGGTTTCATGGAATCGGTAATGAGAAAGGTTTTGACTCTAGTGAGGTTCCCCCAATAAGGGTGAGGAAGAGGCAAATTGATAACCATGCTGTCAGAGAAGCTTCAGATACCTATTCTGAGGTGGATAAGCATATGGATGTTACAACCATTTTGACAATGGAGGAACCAATTTCACCTCTACTTTCTTCAAAGAGGGCACGAAAGAAGGAACATCAGTCTCCTTAAACTAAGTGTTCTCCAAAATGGAGTCAAGTTGTCGAGGACGATACTTCTAGAGAGGTGACTTCCTTCATAAAGATACATGATATTTTTCTTCCCAGCTTCCGTGCACTCCTGAGGAGGCCGCAACTATTGGCTCGGCATCAGATTTATCCTTTGTCCAGAATATTCTCGGGGGGGATAAGATGGAAATAACTTATGAGATTTCTTATAGAATGTTCAAAGATGCTTCTATCTTTTCTCCCGTCTTTGTCGGACGGGGTGTTGTCTTGGCCCCGGCTAGTCCCTTCAAGGAAAGAGATACTTATAAGGAGAACTTCGAAGCTATGGAGATGAAGTGCACTAACCTTCAAAAGGAGCTTCTTGTGTTGCATGAAGAAGTTAAAGCTGCTAATTCTTTACAAGAGGCAGTGAAAGTACATGTCTCCCTTTCTTCCTTGGTGGATCGGGTGACTGAGCTAAAAGATGCCCTTAAAGATGCAAGGGAATGGTGTTAGGTTACTTCTGATTCTATTGAGGAGAAGGCTCGTTAGGTGAAGGAGGACTGGGAAACATTTTTTCTGGTGACCAAGGCCTTCAAACCCCTCAAAGACAAGATGATTGATATGACGTGGGAAATCCATGATGCTCTTCATCATACTATGCAGATGCGCTCGTAATTCTAGAATGAGTGGTGGACTAGCCGAGGAAGCTCTACCTTGATGTCGTAATTTTTATCGAGGCATTGGGCCCATTTAAGTCTACTTATGATGTGAATAAAGTAGGTGGTCCCGGTGCTCCAGCTTCAAAAGCTCCAACTTGATCTTCTTTTTCCTTGTACTCTTTATTTACTACAAGTATTCACATATTTTTGTGCCTTGGGTGTAACAAATTTGGATATTTAATGAAAGATTTTACCTTTATATAATAAGTGTTGTTATCTTTAGAGCTTTGTGTCGGCCTTTACTTTATCATTATCGTTGTTCAAGATTTGTTATAACTTTAGACTTGCTATCTTTATTTGCAAAGTCTTTATTCACTTTTAGAATTTCAGACGGACTATTGGTGTTCGTTGGTGATGGTGGAATATTTGTCGTGGGTGCTAGAGCTTTTATTGCTTTGCTTTATGAAAGAAGTAGATTATTTGATAGTAATTAGAGGACATATATGCCTCTGGAAATTTCCTTGTTCTCTTGTAACTCGGTTGAGTGAACGATGTTAGCTACCATATTTGGTAGTTATATTTGCTCGTTGTCTTTAAAATTTGTTGTAATAGTTTATTGCTTTGAATATACATATATTTTAGTTGGTGATTTGTTTGCGCTACTTGGGCGATAACTGTGATCAACAAAGTTGAGGTAATGTAATCATATTTTAAACTATTCTCTACATCGCAGAGGGTCATACCGCAACCAAGGGTAGGATCCCCTTCCCTGCACCCAGGGCTTGGCTCAGATCGAGATGGTCGTCTCTAGGCTTCACCACCTACTCCATAGGATTTCCTAGATCATGAAGGGGTGCGCCAGCTATGCAAAAGTGTGTTTAATAAGCCTCATATTTGAATCGCAAAAATGCATTAATTATATATCATATACACAATTGGACCTAGAATGTGTTTAATCCATATCAGAATAGTTGAAATGCGTTAAGTCTGTATCAGAAACATATTCACACGCTTTATCTTTGTTCTCCTGTTCCAAACTTTCTATTAAAAAGGGGGACAAAGAAACACACAACAGAGAAAGAAATAATATATATATATATATATATATATATATATATATATATATATATATATATATATATATATATATATATATATATATATATATATATATATATATATATATATATATATATATATATATATATATATATATATATATATATATATATATATATATATATATATATATATATATATATATATATATATATATATATATATAATTAATTAATTAATTAAATTTGATACAAATAACTAGTGAAATTCTGAGGTGGATAACCTTCCTCAGTGACCTGAAGGGCACCGCCGACTTATGTTTGGAGTCTCTTACCGAGGATTTTCTCTAGGACTCTAGGCTAAATGTATTTTGTGATTTAAGGTATTTCAATAGATCGTACAGTGTTTGAAGTGCCTTTACTTGCATTTGTCAGTTAAAGTGTGTGTGATAATAGGCTTTTCTAGGAAGTAGCTTAAGGCTGACTTCTTATGTTGAGCTCGTCAAATTGCTTTGTCTGGTGTTTCGACGAGCTTCCTTTTTTATCATGGATGTTGGGCTTCCTCCCCGTCGAGTCTTTTCTTTAGAACGATAATATTGAGTAGCGATCTAATGTTGGTGTCATATCTTAAATTTTACACTGCTTCATTTAACATCAGTATGTTACTTCATAAATGACCAGGTGAATTAAAATCAAGAGTATTTGACTTCATCTGCATCTTTTGGGAAAAAGTTTCTTTGTGCTTTGATCTTTATCCATCCATTGCATCATGATCATTGCGTATGGATTTGGTTTTAGCCAGTTTATTGATTTTGATTTACTTATGTGATTCATGCGACCTTTTCAAGTATTTTATTTTAGATCTTACTTCCATTTGGTTATATACTTGGGCTTTCTTAAAAAAAATCTTTTTTATAGACTTTTTAGGTTTGTTTTCAATGGGTTTTTTTTTATATATAGCTCCTTTTTTTTCTCATCTTTGATTTAATTTAGAAATTTTAGTGATTAAAGTTCAGTTTTAATTTACTAAAACTCTAAGTTGATTCAAATTGTACAAGATTCTCTAATTTTGTTTTTATCACCATTTTTTTTGTTTTTAGAAAATATACAAAAAAAGGGAGAGAAAGTTTCATTTTAGTTTTTCTTCATTTACTGTTTTGGTCTTATTGAATTTAAATAGAATGCCAAAAGAGTTTAAAGAGGTTTAATTAATTTTTTTATGTTTAGTTTTGTTTTTCACTTATAACTTGAAAAATGTACAAAAAAAGAAGATTTCTACCTATGAATTGCATATTTGAAGAAATCACAAGAAAGGAGTACTTGGTTTACATGTTATCCCATAGAATTAGATGTGAATCCCACAAATTGGGACACATTCAAAATAGGATGAGAGAAAATAGAGAAACAGAAAAAACAAAAATGGAAATAAGGAAAGCTTGGAAACGCGCCATCCATCTTGGAACATCACCATCAGTTACATTCTTCATCAGCATGCGCGCATCACCATTATCTTCCATCAGCTTGCCATATACCATCATCATCAATACACTAACAATCCACCGCCCAACACGACCATCATCATTAATACACCAACAATCCACCGCCCAACACGACCATCATGCCTGCATCAATGCATAACAATAATCAGCTCCAACAAACAACTTGAAACAACATACAACAATACACTTCAACTTGACATTATCCAAATAATAAACAACCATACATACACATAACAACCAATTTCGACATACCATCAGACAACTCTAACAAACTTTAAACGAAATTCACAAAGCAATAATCCATTCATTTCCAATCAATCATGACCACACACACCAGCTTACCAAATGGAATGCCACATATTCATTCAAGTGAAAAGAAAATTCTCACCAAAAATTAAAGTTGGCTAACCCTACAAAATTACTTGTGTTTTGCCACGTGAATGCCACGTCGCTAACACCCAAATCCCGTTACTAGAGAGCGCGTGACAATTTTGTTGCGGCGTGAAAAGCATGTCACAACGTTGCCACGTGAAATTCACGCCGCCACAGACTTTATAGGATCAAAGCAGTTCAGAACAGAGGGTCAGAGCTGTTTATATTTATTTTTACGTTTGCTGTTGCGGCGTATTTTTCACGTCACTAATTAGTGACATGAAAAACACGCCGCAACTTGTTTTTTAAAAAAAAATATATTTTGTGTTTTAAATATATTAATTTTGTTATAATAATTAATATTATTTTTTATTTTATTAAATTTATAAATTAAATATTATAATTTATTTATTAAATACAATATTATAAATCAAATTATCAAAAACAAAACTAAATATTTCTAAATATATAAATAAATATACTTAATATTATAAATTTAATAAACTCAAATTTAAATTGATAATATTTTTAAATATACAATATGATTATAAATTTATATTACACAAATAAAAAACTAAATACAAAATAAAAATAAAACTAAGCAGAATCATTCGAGTCGTCGGAAAAGTCGCGAAGAAAGTCATCATTATTTTAGTGGTTATTATTTTGGCCACCACTGATGGGATTTCTACCAAATGCTTGCATAAATTGTTGCATTTGCTCCTCCATATCAGCCTGCCTCTTCGCCATTGTCTCCATTTGTCTATTATGTTCACCCCTCATTGCCTCCATTTGGACCTCTATTTAGGCCTTCAATGCCGCCTCACGATCTTCGGACTCGCGTCTAGCCAATTGTCTTACCAGTTCTAATTGATCAGGTGTCAAATTTGTTTGACGTGACACTCCTTCACCGTCTGCAGCTCTCTGATACAGATTTCTATCCCCACTCCTCTAGGTGCCCGCCAAATTTCCACCACCAAAAAAACACCCGTTAGGCCCCTTTCCCCGAACAACTTGACTCCAAATATAGAAATCCACATCTGGATGAACCGGTTTTCCCGGAGGAGGAGTATACTGAGGAGTATGGGTCAGAAATTCTACAAGCAAGGCCTGATAATCCTCCTACACATACAATAAAAAAATCAAGTTAAATTTATAAGTAAAATTAATGAAATTAAATGAAATAAAAAAAATAATAAAAAACAAATAGCCACGTGATTGTAACGCCACAACTTATTAGTTGCCACTCAATTTTCACGCCACAACATGTCACTTGCTACATGAAAATCACGTCACAAAATTGCTTAAAAAATATATATAAACATAAATTTACTTACCAGGGCTTTTTTTGTACGCTCGTCAATAAATCCTCCCAATTTCTTTGTCCGAGTTTCCTTAACCAGCTCAGTCATCAATGGTTGTCTCCCCAAACGCTTAGCCTAAATAAAAAAATTAACTTAAATTAATAATATGTTATAAATCCAAATATGACTTTAAAAAGTCGTAATAATTACCATGCGTCGAGCATGCTCAGCAGTACTAATACTTCCAACAGCATTAAGGTAACCCCCTTTTTTCTGATGCCCTCATCTTCTTTGCAGTTTCAGATTTAGCCTTAAATTCATCTGATCTCTAATACTTAAGAAGTTGTTCAAAAACTTTTTTGCCTATCCATTTGGGACGAATGCCCAAAAGTTGCCAATTCTCTCTAACACGTCGTAGCATGTCAGAAAGTCGTCTTGAACTCCTGCCAAAATAATTTTTTTTACTTTGTTATGGTTCAGGGGATCCCAAACACATTTCGCCTGCAATGTTGTATGATATTAAAATAAATAGTTAGATAAATTATAACAATAATGAAAAGGTCATTTAAATAAAAATAACTTAAGAAATAAATTAATTATACCTGAAATTGCTTAAACCAT